AAATGCCAAGCCTAAGAAAATGACTTTGAATATAGGAAAACTTGTCCCTGAGCCTTTTGCACAAAGGGAAGTCTGTTTAGTACCTGTTGGGCTCAGTGATTAAGTGAAGCCTAGAGGAAAGAATCAGAGATGTTCTAGAATGGAAATTGAGCAAAAGATTTCTGTCAGAGGAGAAATGAGAATAGACTCAACATAAGGTCAGCTCAACATAAGGTTGCTACTGAGGAAAAATCAATGGGATGAAAAAAAGTAGACAGAGCCCATGTTTTCACTCTTTGCTATTATTAGCCTTTCAGAATTTTTCTTTCCAGGCTTCAGCCAATAACCAGGGATCAACGGAGATGACCAAAGGTCACAAAGGATCTAGAGAGTGGTTTGGAGTCAGTAGTTTATTCCCCCAAACAGAGTAGCTCAGTTGGAAATCCAGAGATTTACTGATCTTGTACAGAAAGCCTAGGGACAGGAGACAGGGAGAGCATACAGAAAGAGGAAGGAGGAAAGGAGAATAATGGGATTGGTGATATGTTCACTGTGGGCTTGCAGGGCTTGACTACACCTGTTGGCCAGCCTTGTCCACATCTGTTACAGGCATAACAGATAGGAAAATAATAGTAATAACTACACTAAAAGAGAAATTTAGTCCTGATAATAACTTTACAGGGAAAGGGAACAGCTTGCAAAAAAATAAGTACCTTGAAGGGTGGGAATTGGGGAGATATTGGTCAAAGGGTACAAACTTGAAGTTAGAAAATAAGTTCTGGGGATCTAATGCACAGCATTGTGATTAGAGTTGCCAGTATTGTATTATATACTTGCTGAAAGACTAGATCTTAAACGTTCTCATCACAAAAAAGAAATGATAATTGTGTGAGGTAGTGGAGGTGTTAGCTAACACTACAGTGGTAATTATATTGCAATATATGTGTATCAAAACAACACATTATAGGGGCTGGCCCCGTGGCGTAGCAGTTAAGTGTGCGTGCTCCACTGCTGGCGGCCCGGCGTTCGGATCCCAGGCGCGCACACCAATCCACCGCCTGTCAGTCCATGCTGTAGCAGCATCCCATATAAAGTGGAGGAAGATGGACATGGATGTTAGCCCAGGGCCAGTCTTCCTCAGCAAAAAAAGAGGGGGATTGGCGTGGATGTTAGCTCAGGGCTGATCTTCCTCACAAAAAAAAAAAAACACATTGTACATCTTAAACATACACAGTGTTATACATCAATTATATCTCAATTTTTTAAAAAATAAGTATCCTATATAGAATTATTAAATAGCATTTTTCTCTATGTTGCCTGTATGAGATTTTTTCCCCATATATATTAAGCTTTTTATCCTATTATATCCAGTGTCCAGAAAATAGTCCCAGATAGTTAGAGTATCCTGTTCTTCACTTTTTGTTGTTATTCATATAAAATTATTTTTTCGAGTACCTACTCCATGCTAGGCATTGCTCTAGGCTTTAGAGCAATGAAGAACAAGATAAATATGGTCCTCGCCCTCATGGAGCTTGTAATCTAGTCAGATAGACAAACAAGTAATTACACAAGTAACTATCCAAGAACCTGGTAAAAATCTGTAGGATACCTAGGTATTTTGATTACATTGAAGATTTAAAATAAAACACCTTGATTTTCTCTTACTTTCAGGACTTCTGATATTATATACCAGGCAGTGCTTAATCATACCCTTTCCCCGTCCCGTTGCCAGCAGCACTCAGACCCTATCAGGCATCAGCAAAGAAGGAGATTTTCGATTTTCATTCTTCCACTTGATAGATCATGATTCTTAATTTTTGAAATTTGACTATAAGTTACCTGTGAAGTAAAACATGTTTAATCAACTGCTCTCTCTTCTGGAATTGCTCACTGTATTTGAAAGAATGCTGATTGATTCAAAAGTCCAGTTATCATTGGAGAAACTACTAGAGTTTTATCTAATCTCATAATTCACGGATAAAGATTTAGGAATCCTTAAGAGAAAATTTTACATGCTGTTTTCCAAGAGGCAACATAAAAAAAGTATGCTAATCTAGAAATGTAAATATATTATTAATGTATTAGCTAGGATGCTTTTAGCTGCAAGTAACAGAAATTGTGATTCAATGGAAATGTATCCTAAGTAACAGTCCAGAGAGGGAGAGCTTCAAGATTGATAGATTCTGTAGCTCAACACTGTTTTCAAAGATCCTGGTTCTTTCCATATTAAGACTCTGCCTTCTCTAAGCTTCCTCTGGCTTCATCCTCAGGCTACAAGCAAGAAAACTGCTGTAGCAGTTCTAGGCAACATATCTAGAAATGACAATATTCAGAAGGGCTGGGAGGAAGAAACCATCTCTTCCTATAACTCTCTCTTAGAAAAAGGAATCATGTCTTAGAAACCCTCCACCGGACTTTTTCTTCTACTGGTAAAATTGAATCTCTTTCCAGTACCTGAACCACACACTGGGGGGGAATGGGGTTACCCTCAGACCATTCAGCCCACCCTTAAGGCTGGAAAAGAGATCAACTTCCTCTGAGGGACATGGCTGTGTGGAATATGGATAGGTACGTGAGCAAAATCAGGGTTGTATAAGAAAAGGACACCAGTGTCCACTATACTTCCTGAACCATTTTTTTCAAGACAGCAGCTTGAGCACAGTGTGATAATTATAAAAGAAGTCAGTGGCACTGGTGCTCATCTGATGTACTGTACATAATTGTAATAACTGTTGACACACCTAGTTCTCTAAGAAAACACTGAAGAAAATTGATCATCTTCTAATAACACTTGATGGTGTTGTGAAAATAATATTTTTGTTAACCTTTACAGGATACTTAAAATTCCAGTATGGACAGGGGAAGTTACTTACCAAAATGTGTCACAAGAGTCCTGTCAATTGAACTGGAAATTGAGGAATCTTGTGCATAACCCTAGGTCTCCAAACTCATGGCCTCTCAAATTAACCCCAGCTCAGCATAACATATCACCTTCATTACAGTTTTGAACCTGTGTTGGTCATTTCAAAGAATATTTGTACTAGTCAACATAGGCTAGATTATGATACAATAACAGACAACTCCAAAATTTCAAGGGGTTTGCTGATTAAAAGTACTTTTCTTACATTAAGTCCACTGGAGATCTGCCAGCTGTCCATGAATTGGCTTGGCACTTTTAGGCTGCTTCAGTCTCTAAATCCTTCTGTATCAAAGTGCTCCCCCTGCAAAGAGACATTTCACTGGTCAAGTCACAGGGTCATATCTAATTTCAAAGGGCAGGGAATCCTTGTACACAGAAGTAGAGGAGAATTAGATACTGATTAGATAGTGATAATGCCTACCACAATATTCACAATAGATTCACAAATAGATTCTCTGAAAGACAGTCTTTCTAAATCAATTTGCTATCATCAATATATTACAGTCAAGGCTGCCCTTCTTTCTAAGATGACTCTCATAAAGAAGCCACGACTAATGTTATTTTGGTGGTGCCTACTCATGCCGTGGCCCCTTCATTCTAAGAAAGATCCGTTCCCCTCACCCTACTGAGGGAGTAGGCCTAAGTCTTCCTGTTTATAGCACATGAACTCTCTAGCCACAGCAGATTGGACTAGGCATGGGTGAAAACCTGATGCAAGCTGGGCAATCAAGATTCTCTTTCTCTTGAGAAGTTGGACATAGGACATAGCAGTAAATATTATTGACTTCTTAAAGAGAACATAGAATCAGGACTATGTCAGACACTTTTCTTGACAGGCCCAGGCACAGATCCTCAAAAGAAAGAAAGAGAGCTGGCCCCGTGGTGTGGTTAAGTTCAGTACACTCCACTTTGGCAGCCAGGGTTCACAGGTTCAGATCATGAGCACAGACCTACACCGTTTATCAGCCATGCTGAGGCGGCAACCCGCATACAAAATAGAGGAAGATTGGCACAGATGTTAGCTCAGGGCTAATCTTCAAGCGGAAGAAAAAAAAAAAGAGAAAAAGGAAGATTGGCAACAGATGTTAGCTCAGGGCGACTCTTCCTCACCAAAAAAAGAAAACAGGCAGGCAAGAAGAAGGGTAGGTAATCAGCCATATGGTCCTTTAATCACAAGTTCTGACTTTCCAATTCCAATCTAGTCCTCCTAAAGCCTTGTATGTTTTCTGACCTTGGACTTGGTGAGATAATCCTGTGTTCTATCAAGAACTTCCATTTTCTGTTTAAATTGGTTTGCAATGGGTTTCTATTTCTTACAGCCAAACAGTGGTTGCAATAGCCAAAACAAAGAAGAGCTTATACTCTCCTGAAAACTATTAATGTATGTTAGGGGCACATTGGTCCGATGATTCTCTTTCCTGTAGTTTTGAATTATAAGACATTATTTCCTGGAATGTGTTCTGTGGAACAGTGATCCTCTAAGCTGCCCTGTGGAACAAGGGATCTAGGATCAGATAGGTTTAAGAAGTGCTGCATACTACATCCCCCTTTGAGAGACTGATAAGTACATTTAAGGTTCTGAGAAGTTCTGCAGTAAAGAGACCTGTTAAATCTCCTTAACCCAGCATTACCAAATGTGTACATAGTTGGTCACGTAATACACATTAAAATCTGTTGGAACATGTGCCCTGTGGAGAGCAACTCTTTGAAAGTTGCTGTTATAATGATTTAGGAGTACTTTTCGTTGCAGCAAAAATCGGTTGAAACGTGCTCTCTTCCCTTGCTTTTTTAACAACTACCAAATGACAAAAATGATTATTTAACAAGAAAAAACAAGTATTAACTCTAAGGAAAGCACTGCTGCCGCCAGATGTCTCACCACCAAGTTCAAGTTTAGAATGGAGTCTTGCGCTTCATTTTACTCTGGATGAGAATATACCTTTTCAAGGGGAGTAAAAGATCTCCAAAGAGGGGGATGAAACTTGTAGCTCTCCTTGAGTGACCCTGGAAAATTATTGAGGAATCTCCCTCTGGGAACTATCTTTGGGATATCCTGTCTGACAGCTGATAGGAGAACCCTTGATTAGGATAGCCACTTTTTTATATAACCTCTGTGCCTTATGTAAATTAACAGGACTAAAAAGACTGGTTAACGCTTTGGCTTCCTGGCCAGCTGAAGTAATGAATAACAACAGCTCAGGTTATCGCTCCTTTAAAGCAGAGCTAGATTACACAAAATGACCTAGGAATCAAGGGAGGAAGTAGAACGTACTCACAATCATCTTCAAGATCAAACGATTTCTGCTGCTTCTGCTTGTCTTAAGAGGTTTTTTGGTGGGGAGAATGAAAATGGTTATTACACCCCTATTGTGTGCCAGATACTAGCCACTTTACATTTGGGACCTAATTTACCAACTCTGAAAGTGTGTATCATTATACCCCTTTTACAACTAAGGACATCAAGTCCATAAAAGGTTAGGCAACTTTATTACAGTCTTATTATTAGTAACTATTAAGCTATATAAAACCAATTCCATCTGACTCCAGAGTTCTTGTACTTTCTATTTAAACATGCTTGTCCCACAACAGCCAGATGATGTGTTACACATAGTAAATGATGCAGTCTGTCTAACAGTATAAAGAAGAAAGGTGTGTTTGTGTGCTTGCTTTTTACTGGAGCAAAAGATTAACTCAAATATTTCGTGTGAAAAATTGACCTCAAAGAGAACTTCTGGCTAGGATTTCTTTTTTTAATCATGAATATTTCAGTTCAGTAAATAGGACTATTAACAAGATTGGAAGACATATTCAATCTATCTGTAGGCTTTGGTACTCAAGCACAAACAAGAGCCTGGAAACATTAAGTCTTCAGTGTTCGTGACATGACCAGGATTATCTAAATTGAGGCGTGATTAAGATGTTTTGTCAGGGAACAGTTTATGCAGGGAATCCGGGATGAATTGCTGTGAAATCACTGGTGAACTATTAAATGGTGCATATAAGTAGGAAGATGAGGTCCCAGAATAATGTTTCTTTCCATTTCTTCTGTCTTTTAACCTCAGTTCTCATTACAGCCTGAAGAAAAGTATTTTCTAATGATGCTTATAAAATAAACAAAGAACCTTGCCTGGCAAAGTACCAAGACAACTGTTCTGAAACAAATGAACTTAACTGTTATATCACCAACGTGATATAACCACAAAAAGAAAAGAACTATTTTAAATTTTTTTAGAACACAAGACTTTGACTATGTTTATTCCTAGAAATATGTATCCTAAGGACAAAAAGAAAGGCAAATTTTAAATTTCATTTAGTAGTCTAATGATTAGTAAAAAAAGATATTGGTTTCATTTTTGAAACTATTTTATGGATATTAGAGAACAAATGATTATGTTAATATGTTAGGATCCAAAACTTTCCGTATAAGAGATGAAACATACAAATAGAAAAACACAGAAGTAAAATTCCAATAATTTTTTGTTTCCTGAAAAAGCTTAAAAGCAGTGACAACCCAATAGCAATGATCAGGCGTGGCACCCATATTATACCTTTTCAAGATAACTGATTCCAGGTCTAGGTCAAAAAATGTATAAAATGAGCCTGGGATGTCTTCTACCTGAAAGCAAGGAAGTTATCCAAGACTGTTGGGGTTGTATCAAAATGACACAAAAGTCAACTTCCTTTGCCTAAATACAGAACAATTTAAATATCCAAAAGAAAAATGACTGCAGCTCATTGAAATGCATTGAAAGTATAAAATCCACAAGTTCATGATTTGAAAAGAGAAAGAAAGCTAATTAATTAGTTAATTAAGTAACCAAAAGTCACTGGTCACCGTTGGAAGTAGCTAGGGCATTCTATTAGTTTGCTAGGGCTGCAATAACAAAGTACCACAGACTGGGTGGCTTAAACATTATTTTCTCACAATTCTGGAGGCTAGAAATC